TCCCAAATTTTTGTATGACTGTAAAAACTCAAAATAAAGAGAAAAAAAAAAAACACCCACAAAAAGAAACTGCCCAAATGTGATGCGCACTTAAAAACGTGCCTGGCTCAGGGCCAAAAGTTTGTCAGTGAGCTTTTTTTTGGTGTGACAAACATGCACAGGGTAACCCATTCAAGTGAATGGGCTGTCCTATCTGCGTCACACGGAGAACACCCATTTAAAATCGTGAGTGGGAAACCACGTTCCTGCTACATGATATGTGAACGGGGCCTAATTATTATAGACAGATCTTGCAGTTTGTTTTCTTCTTCTTTTTCAATCTTGAAAACCTTCTGGCTGTTGTACAGCCAAATAGCATTGATATGCTGTAGATCTGCTTGTAGCAGATGTTATTTTTCTTGTCTTGCTGGTTACTTGGAAACTGAGTTATATATATTAAAACAAGTCGGAAAGCCAATTTACGTTTTGAGTGAACAATTGTATTTCTGGATCAGAATCAGAAAGCTAATAATAATAATAGGGGGTCTGAATTATGAGACTACAAAGAGGCTTTGATGGGTATAGTAGAAAATTCCTGGCTTCCAGAACCTCAGCCTCATGGTTAGGTGTCCCTACTACACCTGGCTCTTGGCAGCTAGTTGATGTTATGTGGCAAGCTGGCCTGGTATACTCAAATGGTAGAGTAATATAAAAATGCATTGGATGAGCCCCAGAATTTTTGTTTTAAATTGTTGAATTTAACTGTGGTGTATCTTTGAGTAAGTTATGTAGGAAATGAGCATGCAGATGGTGTTTGTCCTCATTGAGCCACAGTACTGAATACATATCAAATCTAGCATTTTTTACAAGGCAGGACAATCATTAGTATTTCCCAAATGGCAGTCACCTGTGAATTACCAGATTAAATGTAAAATTGACTTTGCATGGTTGCAATGTTTCCTGATTTGCACTGGTGGTCAATGGACTGATTTTCTGTTTGAAGTTTATCACTGTTTTTTTGTTTTTTTTTCTTGGGTAGGCTAGGTTATTCTATTAAAACAATACCTAAAAATCGTTTTTCTAATTTTGCCGTTCAATAGATTATTATTTTTGAAAGCAGTGGCTAAAGATCCATTGAAAGACACTATGGATACAAGTATAAAACCTACTATTGTTTGGCTCTCAGTTAAACTTCTTAAATATTAATAAAACCTGCTTCTAATCTATTCCTAAATACAGTATTTAAGATGTTAAAGTTGTTGGTGTTCTGGCCTGTAATTATTCATCCACCTCTGATGTGGAAACAATGCCCTTTTGTATGAATGCTATCTAATGGTGTAATTAAAGAGAAAGAAAGGTCTTGCAATGAGTACAGGGGCAAGTCAAAAGGGCTTTTTACCCTCTTATATAAATTCCCAGCCAGAGGAAACAGAAGTCAGACTCCCTAATGGTTCTGTAATGTCTACTCGCGTGTTAGGCTTCTTTCTTTCTCTGATAAAACCCAAGTCTGAAGTTAGTCATTCAAACCTTGTTTATCGTAGTCTGCCATCTTTCTTGGGATTTGAGCTGACTGAGGTTCTTATAGAAGGTAAGTGGATACTGCTGTAAATATTGTATGGGTTTGGGCTTCTTGTTTTCTTTTCCTGTATATGTATGTAGAACACTTTTATTATTTTGCTGCCTATCACCCACATATTTATTAATATCTTTAATACTTTGGTGCCCAAACTGCAGCCCTTTTGACACTTTTTGTGTGGCCCTCGTATGTAAACTTTTTTAAATCAACTTCTCTAAGGGCTCATGTACACTGCAGCTCATAAACTCACGATCCGGAGCTTTTTTGCATTTTTTCAGCAGCCCCTGAACTCTTCCTAACGTTCTATGTATCCATGTACACTATGTTATTTACAGTCGTTTACAGGCAGTTGAGTTTACAGTCGTTTTTTTTTAATTCACCAAACTTGCGATCAGGAGTAGATTTTACCGGCATTTCAAACGCTTGTAAACGTGGTTAACTGCGTTTATAAGCGTTTGTATTTAGAATCGTTTTTTAACAGTTCCATGTCCAGATGCTGTCCAGAGCCTTTTTTTCATCATCAAATGCATGCAAAGCGTTTTTCCATGTAGTCAAATAGACCTAGTACACCAGCGCAGTCAGTTCCAGGTTTCACATGAAGGAAAAAATGGTGGAACGTGCTGCATTATGCTCATAGTGAATACAACCAGAAAAGACAGGTCATCTCAACACATACTGCTCTCTCTGCTTCTGCTCTCTCTATTTCTCTCAAAATGACTGAAAAAGTTAATTTTTTTACTATTTTTCAGGGCATTTGGGAGGGTCTTCTGAGGTTATCTTTTAAAAACGCTCATAAATGCAGTATGTGAATACGGCTGCCAGACTCATTCACCTTTCCAACCGCTCCGTGTCCGCCACCCCCCCTCTGCCAATCCCTCCACTGGCTTCCGATTGCGCAACGGATCAAATTCAAAATCCTAACGCTGACGTACAAAGCTGTCCACCATACTGCCCCGAACTACATCACTGACCTAATATCCAAGTACCGCCCAGCACGCACACTCCGCTCCTCACAAGACCTCCTTCTCTCTAGTTCCCTGGTCTCCTCCTCCCATGCCCGCCTCCAGGACTTCTCCAGGGTGTCACCCATCCTCTGGAACTCCCTGCCCCAACCCATCAGATTATCACCTACTCTCCTCTCCTTTAGGCGCACCCTGAAAACCCATCTCTTCAGGGAAGCCTACCCCACCCCCTGCTAACTTGCTGACCTCCTCCACTCTTCCTACCACTCCATCCCCCACAGCTATCTCCTCCTGTGCCACCATCCCCTCCCTCCTAGAGTGTAAGCTCGAAAGAGCAGGGCCCTCGATCCCCTCATGTTTTGCATTGTATTGGTATTGTTCTGTCACATGTTCTGTTCCCCTCTGTAATGTACAGCGCTGAGCGAACTATTGGCGCTTTATAAATACTGTATAATAATAATAATTATATGCAAACGTGGCTTAACTGATGTTTTTTAACTTACGTTTTCCAGCAGTCAGTTTCCATCGTTCAGAAGAGTTTTCCAAATGCCCTGTGTACATGAGCCCTTATTTACCCGCTTCTAGTCTATTAAAAGTTCCAATAAGAACATTTTGTTATGTTATGAATAAGTGCATTAAAATATCCACTAATCATGTCAGAAAGAGCTTTAGAGCTTCCCGCATCCTGTTCTGTGAGTTTTATTAGCCCTCTTAGTTCTTATCTTGGGACTACAGAATTATACAAGTCATACACTTAAAGGTTTTTCCATTCAGCTTGCAGAAAAAAAAATCCTACAGATTTCTCCATCCATACTATACATCCTTGCCAGCTGTCAAAATAATCACACAGAGGCTGCATGTGATTGGATGTGGTTGCTATTTGGCCACCAGCTTTCCAATTTACATTTTGGTTCCTTTGATTTTTCAGTCAATGGGTGTCAGGCTGGAGGCAGAGTGAATTTCGGCAGGTTCTTCAGCAACTTGCTGACATTTGCACAAATTAAGGCTGCCTTTAGTGTCTGTTTTGTGAAGATGGCAGAGAGGGTGAGTTAAGTAATTTAGCAAAAGAAAACTGGGTAGGGCTGACACCTCTTCAAAAATGCTGTTTGCTGACCTGGCAGAAATGTACTCCGATCCCTAGTCCTGTAGCCTTTCAAGGTATAGAACATGGCAAATGTGCATGCATGGCAGAAATGTACTGCATATGTGTTTTTTTTTTCATATTACATTGACATACACTTCAACAACTGCAAGTGTTTATTCTAGTGGAGATCCTTTTCTTATACTGAACCATTTTGGTATAGTGAATATTCTGCATATTCTTCTCTTGTTCTATTGCATGCTGTTAAAATGGTAGACAAACCCCTATTGTATTCACATTATTACTTTGGCATGCTATTGTTTCAGAAATGTAATGTGTTCATTTAATGAAGGAGGGATGACCCCCAGCATTGCACTGCAGCCAAATATCCACCATCTCGTCTGACTACTTTGCCAGCAGAAAGTGAACACTCTGGCTGCTATGGAATTGTTACTTAATTTCTTGTGTTTTTTTTTACACTAGCCCAATAATGGCACCTTTAAAGCGGTAGTAAAGTCTTGGTATTAAGCAATAAAAATGATCCCCTTGCAGGTTTGTCATAATATACTAGCATGTACTGCATACTAGTACATTGTGACAGACTTACCCACAAAAAGAACCCTCCAGTGCAGCGCTGTCATGGCTCTACCGGCGCTTCCATGTTTGCTCGGTCTTCCTTCCGGGATTCCTACCTTTTGGCCCCTTGAATGACCAAGGCTGAGATGACGTCACTCCCACGCATGTGCACAGGAGTCATATTGTCGCGGCACACAGATCGGGCTGTAATTGTGGTCTGAGCTGCGCATGAGCGGCTCAGATTACATTACGCGCTGTCAGGCAAGGGGCAGATTTGTGACAGGGTCTCTTTTGTTATAAAACCCTTCCTGTCAGCAGATTTTTTATTTCTTCAGTTTACTACCAATTTAATAAAACATGATAGGCAGTAAACACAAAACTATAACTTGTTCTTTAAGATCTGCTGTGTGTATCAAGTGCTTTATTTGGTTGGTTAGTTGAATTCTGTCAAATTTAACCCTGGAGAGTATGCAAGCTTGACTGTCAAAGCGTATCTAACCCAAAGAACAAAAATGTAATATATTGCCATTTACTAGTTGTTTCATGTGGTGGCTGCATTAGTTTTGACTAAGAATATTTTCAGCAAGTACAGGAAATAGCTATTGATCTTTCCAGGAATGCAGTGTATTTGCCACTTCCTGTGGAATGAAGAGAAAACACAAACATCCCTATTCTTCTTGTGTAAACAACTAATCCCATCAATCCACTGTGTTCAGACTCGCAAAATGGCATGGGTCAAATATTCTAAATATTCAGACCTTTCATGTAGATGATATTCTGACTCCTTTTAGCATCATAGTTAAATTGTTTGCTTTTTTTTTTCTAGATCCCAATTACCTGATGGCCAACGAACGTATGAATCTCATGAACATGGCAAAGTTGAGTATAAAGGGCTTAATTGAATCTGCGCTTAATCTGGGGCGGACCCTGGACTCTGACTATGCACCTCTGCAGCAGTTCTTTGTGGTTATGGAGCACTGTCTAAAGCATGGCTTAAAAGGTATGGCTAGTGGTAGTGGCATGCCAACTGTAGATCCATTTCTAAATGTAAAAATTGTTACATATGTTGCTGTCAATTCTGTTTCTGTAAGCTAGACCATTACAGCTACTGTTAGGGTCATGTATACAGACATTATGCCCATATTCATGCCCTGTTAAATCTGAGTTTCATTCCTCATAGGGTGAACACCCCCTTGCATGCCAAGCTCTGCCCATCTCATGTAAGGGCAGATAATTCATATAGCATTTACTTCCTGGACTCCATCTGCCTTTAGGTCAGGCATGCAAGCAGGAAGGTGTGCTTAACTGACAAAGCTCTTCCAAGTGAAAAAAAAAAGAAAGAAATGCGATGTATGACATTATTTTGGCCTAGGCCAGAAACCAGGGAGCAACTGAAGAAATGTGAAAAAAGGTTAACACAAGTAAATAGAATATACAGTTGTGACCAAAATTATTCAACCCCCAATGCTGTAAAGGGGTTTAGGGACTATAGTGTACATTTGGAATTGTATTCAGAATCAAATCCTACAAGGACGTTGTAACTACCCAAATGCAACTAAAATGACATCAATTGTTTATGTAATACAGTAGTAAATGGTTCTTATGTGGTTTCTTCATTGCCACAATTATTCAACCCCTTAAAGACTACCACTCTGAAGAACAGAGGTTCATACAGGTGCTTTCCATCAGGTATTGAAAAACACCTGTGGATGTCACCCGAGCAGCAATCAAGCATAATAAGCACCAATTTAGGCAGCTTTAAAATGACTGTGATACTCAGCTCCTTCTAGACATTTACTGGTGTGGTTACAAACATGGTTGAAGGCAAGAGAATGGTCCAGGAAGACAAGAGAAGAGGTGATTTCTCTTCACAGGAAGGGCAATGGCTATAAGAAGATTGCAAAGATGTTAAACATACCAAGAGACACCTTAGGAAGCATCATTCGCAAATTCAAGGCAAAGGGCACTGTTGAAACGCTACCTGGTCGTGGCAGAAAGAAGATGCTGACTTCGACTGCTGTGCGCTACCTGAAGCGTAGAGTGGAGAGAAGTCCCCGTGTGACTGCTGAGGAACTGAGAAAAGATTTGTCAGATGTGGGTACAGAAGTTTCAGCCCAGACAATAAGACGCACACTGCGTAATGAAGGCCTCCGTGCCAGAACTCCCAGGCGTACCCCCTTGCTGTCTCCAAAGAATAAGAAGAGTCGACTGCAGTATGCCAAAAGCCATGTGGACAAACCACAAAAAGTTGTGGGATAGTGTTCTGTGGACTGATGAAACAAAAATTAGAACTGTTTGGGCCCATGGATCAACGCTATGTTTGGAGGAGGAAGAACAAGGCCTATGATGAAAAGAACACCTTGCCTACTGTGAAGCATGGTGGAGGGTCAACCATGCTTTGGGGCTGTTTTGCTTCTGCAGGTACAGGGAAGCTTCAGCGTGTGCAAGGTACCATGAATTCTCTTCAGTACCAGGAGATATTGGATGGAAACGTGATGCAGTCCGTCACACACACCTGAGGCTTGGGAGACGTTGGACCTTTCAACAGGACAATGATCCCAAGCATACCTCCAAGTCCACTAGAGCATGGTTGCAGAGGAAAGGCTGGAACATTTTGGAGTGGCCATCGCAGTCACCAGACTTAAATCCGATTGAGAACCTCTGGTGGGACTTAAAGAAAGCAGTTGCAGTGCGCAAGCCTAAGAATGTGACTGAACTGGAGGCCTTTTGCCCATGAAGAATGGGCGAAGATACCCGTAGATCGCTGCAAGACACTTGTGTCAAGCTATGCTTCACGTTTTAAAAGCTGTTATAACTGTAAAAGGATGCTGTACTAAGTACTAAGATTGAATGTCACTTGGGGGTTGAATAAAACTGATAATGCTGTGAGCACAGAAAAGACATTTGTGGTTATTTCATTATAACTGTTATGTTATATTTGTCTGACCTACAAGTGCCTCTTTAATGTAAAATGTAAGCAAGATGACTGAATGATCAAAAGCAATGTCAAACTGGCCAAAACACTCAATTTCAGTGGGGGTTGAATAATTTTGGTCACAACTGTACCTTCCAATCTATTTATTATGGCTAGTAGCATAAGGATTAAAAATAGTTAATGTTGATTGAGAGAGTAAAGTTCTGCTTTAATACCATTGATCTAACATTGTACTTTTATTGTTTGCCTATTTGTTCTGTTCTTTAGACTGAGATCAGCAATCCCTAACGTAGAGCTTAGAGGATAGATTTCTCTAAATTATTGGTGATATACGCATATGGAAAAGCACCCCAACTCATTTTCCATAAATTAAAGTGGTTGTAAAGGCTCAAGGTTTTTTCACCTTCATGTATTCTATGCATGAAGGATAAAACAATCTTCTGTGTGCAGTAGCCCCCCAGCCCCCCCAATACTTACCTGAGCCCCATCCCGAGCCTCGGACTCCCCCTTCTCATTGGCTGAGGCAGCAGCAGGAGCCATTGGCTTCTGCTGCTGTCATTCACAGCCAGTGAGTCAATGAGGAGAGAGAGAGGGGGCACGGGCCGAGCCACAGCTCTGTGTGTAAATGGACACACACAGAGCAGCAGCTTGGGAGTGAGTCTGCTTGGGTGCCCCCATTGCAAGCTGCTTGCTCTGGGGGCATTCGGCAGGAAGGACGGACAAGGAGTGCTGGCAGGGGACTCGAGTGGAGGAGGATCTGGGCTGCTCTGTGCAAAACCATTGCAATACCAAACAAATACCATGTTTATTATTTTTTTAAATTGCCTTTAATATCACTTTAAAGTAATTGTTAAAACTATTTTATTTTTAAATAACAGGTTTATACTTATTTACTCTGTGCAATGGTTTCGTACAGAGCAGCCCCAATCATCCTCTTTTCTGGTCCCCTGCCGCAACTACTGGCTTGTCCTCTTATCAGTGTGCCATCATAGGAAGCCTCTTCTTACTGTGGCACACCTGTGGGCTCGATCTGAGCTGCTATGCCTGCGTCTATAGACATGGACTGCAAGGCTCGGCCCCGCCCCCCACTCTATTCTCACAAGCTCCCGCTGTTGCCTATTGTCTAGTGAGGAGAGAGAGAGCTGCAATGCTGCTCTGGGACACAGCGCTGAATTGAGATCTGACTCGGGTATGTATTTAGGAGGGGCTGGTGGATGGAGCTAATAATGGAAGGTTTATTTCCTTCATGCAGAGAATGCTGGTAAAAAAACCTTTAGCCTTTACTTTAAGTATTTGTGTTACAAGGAAAAGTCTTGCCACATTTTATACAAGGATGCATTTTGTGTTTTACACTTGTTTGATAGCTAAGAAGACATTTCTTGGGCAGAATAAGTCCTTCTGGGGCCCTCTGGAACTAGTGGAGAAACTTGTACCTGAAGCATCAGAAATCACAGCTAGTGTGAAGGATCTTCCTGGTCTCAAGTGAGTTGCATTTTTCTATTTAACTATTGTAGTGTAATCCTCTGTAGTTCCATTTATACATCTTCATAGGGCTTGGAATGGATTTCAGTTTTTTAGACAATAAGTGAAAATATATCCACAACAGGAAGTGAAGAGGTACCATATGGGGCCTTAAAGTGTTACTAAACCCAGGACCCCGCATTCACTATATCTGGTCCCCCACAGTACACAGAACATGGAAATGCAATTATTTTAGTAAATATAAACTGCTAAAAACCTTTTCTCATCAGCAGTTAGAGCAGTCTTGTGACTTCAATCAGTGTCCAGCTGAGCACTGTTTACAGTTTGTAGGAGGAGTTTTAATTCCCCTGAAGGAGGATGCAGAACCCCTTACCTCTGTCTGGACAATGCTGATTGGCCCTGTGCTGATAACATGCACCCTCCCAAGAAATAAAAACTCTAGCCATACACACCAAACTGAGCATGCATGTGCAGAGTGTCTCCACACCAATGTTCTATCAGAAGATATTTAGGAGACACTGGAAAAAGAGGAGGATCAGAGAAGACCGGATCAAACATCCTTTTTACACAATGTGGGTTTTTATCTTCTTGGGTTCCACAGTGAGTATAATAAGCATGTTTTACTGCATATACAGACTGATTTTACTGTTGTGGGTTTAGTAACACCTTAAAGTGTTACTAAACCCACAACCAAAAAATCAGACTGTATATGCAGTAAAACATGCTTATTATACTCACATTGGAACCTAAGAGTTTAATCCCCAGCATTGTGTAAAAAGGATGTTTGATCCTGTCTCCTCTGAACCTCCCCTTCTTCTGATGTTCTCAATCTATCTGCTGATAGAACAGAGCCTTGGGGGCAAGCTGCAAATGCTCAGTTTGGTGTGTATTGCTAGAGCGTATACATACATTTGCAGTGCTACACCAGAAGGGGCACTTAGTAACGCTGGTCACCTGGAGCCACTCTGACCTTGCAAACTTCTAAACCCTTCTGAAACTCTAGGTTCAGACATGGTTTAGACAAAACTGATCACCAACAATATCCAGCACAAAGTATCTGCAATTAACACAACTTTCAGTGGTCACAGTTGTATTGAGTATTTTGAGGTAATTTAAAGAGTTACTAAACCCCACAACAGCAAAATAAGTCTGTATATGCAGTAAATCATGGTTGATATACTCACTGTGGAACCTAAGGGGGTAATCCTCTGCATTGTGTAAAAAGGCAGTTTGATCCTGACTTCTCTGATCCTACCCTTCCTCCAGTGTCCCACTCTTATCATCTGATAAGGCATATGGTGTGGAGACACTCTGCACATGCTCAGTTTGGTGTGTATTGCTAGATATTTTTTTTTTTCTTGGGAGAGTGCATGTGATCAGCACAGAGCCAATCTCAGCACTGTCCAGACAGAGGGTCAGGGGTTTTGCAACCTCATAGGATAATCAGGGGAGAATGAAAAATCTTACAAACTTTACCCAGTGCTCTACTGGACACTGATAGAAGTCACAAGACTGCTCTAACTGCTGATGAGAAAAGGTATTTAGCAGTTTATATTTACTAAAATAATTGCACTCCCATGTTGTGTGTACTGTGGGAGACCAGATATAGTGAATGCAGGGTCCTGGGTTTAGGAACACTTTAAGTCTAGTAAAGTTCTTTCACCAGACTCATTACAGATCAATAACAACTATTGCATTTTTTTTACATAGTTTTATTGGTCCAGCTTGGAATCATGGAACTATGCACATACCATATCTCTGGAATCCATCTAGACCAGTGGTTCTCAACCTTTCTAATGCCGCGACCCCTTAATACAGTTCCTCATGTTGTGGTGACCCCCAACCATAAAATTATTTTCGTTGCTACTTCATACCTGTAATTTTTGCAGTGGGAGGAGTAGTGCCATGTCATTGGTGTCAGTGGAAGGAGTAGTAGTGCCCCATCACTGATGTCAGTGGGATGAATAGTGCCCCATCGTTGGTATCAGTGGGAGGAATAGTGCCCCATCACTGATGTCAGTGGGATGAATAGTGCCCCATCATTGGTATCAGTGGGATGCATAGTGCCCCATCGTTGGTATCAGTGGGAGGAATAGTGCCCCATCGTTGGTGTCAGTGGGAGGAATAGTGTCCCATCATTAGTGTCAGTGGGAGGAATAGTGCCCCATCGTTGTGTCAGTGGGAGGAATAGTGCCCCATCATTGGTGTCAGTGGGAAGAATAGTGCCCCATCATTGGTGTCAGTGGGAGGAGTAGTGCCCCATCATTGGTGTCAGTGTAGTGCCCCATTTGCCCCATCATTGGTGTCAGTGGGAGGAATAGTGCTCCATCACTGGTGTCAGTGGGGGGAGTAGTGCCCCCATCACTGGTGTCAGTGGGAGGAGTAGTGCTCCATCACTGGTGTCAGTGGGAGGAATAGTGCCACATCATTGGTGTCAGTGGGGGGAGTAGTGCCCCATCATTGGTGTCAGTGGGGGGAGTAGTGCCCCATCATTGGTGTCAGTGGGGGGAGTAGTGCCCCATCATTGGTGTCAGTGGGAGGAATAGTGCCCCATCACTGGTGTCAGTGGGGGGAGTAGTGCCCCATCACTGGTGTCAGTGGGAGTAATAGTGCCACATCATTGGTGTCAGTGGGAGGAAATCATTGGTGTCAGTGGGAGGAATAGTGCCCCATCATTGATGTCAGTGTGGTGGAGGGGAGAATAGTGCCCCATCATTGGGGTCAGGGGGGGGGGAAATAGTGTCCCATCGTTGGTGTCAGTGGGGGGAGGAATAGTGCCCCATCATTGGTGTCAGTGGGAGGAATAGTGCCCCATCATTGATGTCAGTGTGGTGGAGGGGAGAATAGTGCCCCATCATTGGGGTCAGGGGGGGGGGGGAAATAGTGTCCCATCGTTGGTGTCAGTGGGGGGAGGAATAGTGCCCCATCATTGGTGTCAGTGGGAAGAATAGTGCCCCATCATTGATGTCAGTGTGGTGGAGGGGAGAATAGTGCCCCATCATTGGGGTCAGGGGGGGGGGGGAAATAGTGCCCCATCGTTGGTGTCAGTGGGGGGAGGAATAGTGCCCCATCGTTGGTGTCAGTGGGGGGAGGAATAGTGCCCCATCGTTGGTGTCAGTGGGGGGAGGAATACTGCCCCATCGTTGGTGTCAGTGGGGGGAGGAATAGTGCCCCATCGTTGGTGTCAGTGGGGGGAGGAATAGTGCCCCATCGTTGGTGTCAGTGGGGGGAGGAATAGTGCCCCATCGTTGGTGTCAGTGGGGGGAGGAATAGTGCCCCATCGTTGGTGTCAGTTGGGGGAAGAATAGTGCCCCATCGTTGGTGTCAGTGGGGGGAGGAATAGTGCCCCATCGTTGGTATTAGTGACACAAATGATGGGGCACTATTCCTCCCACTGACACCAATGATACTTACTTTGCTGACCCCTGCTCCAGCCTGGGCTCGCTCTCTCACTTACCTGTCAGCTGTCTTCCTTCTCTGGCCGCTCTCCTCTTCACTCGCTCCGGCAGCTCCCTCGATCTTCTTTGATGTACGCGCGCTGCCGCTCGGCTCTCCTCCTCTCCAAGCTCCACCTCCTCGCCGGTGATTGGCCGCCTGTGTGCCTCTCCTGAGCTACAGTATCGGTGGCCAATCAGCGGCGAGGAGGCGGAGCTGCTGAGTGATCCCGGAGGTGTGGCCAGGTGACAGGAGCAGCGTATCATCCCGCCCACACATCGCCGGAGACTGCAGCGGTGTCTCGGTTCCTAAGACCATCGGAAATATGTGTTTTCCGATGGTCTTAGGCGACCCCTGGGAAATGGTCGTTCGACCCCCAAAGGGGTCGCGACCCCCAGGTTGAGAACCGCTGATCTAGAAGCTGGAATCCTTGTAATAGACACTGATACTCCAGTCATCTCCACTAGCTTCTGGAACCTGTATCTAGTGGCTGCCCTTCTGCATTATGAACACAGGAATTCGGCCGCTCTGCTCAGGCAGGCACCATGCAGTAAAAAGCATTGCATTTCCTCAATGAATACAAAGCCTTCTCTGATTAGACGAGGTGGAGAGGTGGGAGTGACATTCTGGACCAATCTGTAGTATTGGGAAAAAATATCCATACGTTTTATTTTAATTCATTATGTAAAGCCATGACTATTGAGGTTCATGACCTGCCTAGCAAATAATTATTTAACGTGGTCATGTGCAGTGTGACACTAGGAATACAGGTGCTTGGTGTACAGTACAGCAATGTATTTTTACAGGAGAGGAACAGCGTGGGGATCTAAATTACCTGCATCACACTTGGGAAGCTTTGAGTTGTAGATCCTGAACTGTTTGACAGCTATTGTTTTTATTAGAATACTCATAAAATGTTATATTATTATTGGCCATTATTTCCAATTTATTTTCTAGGACACCTGCAGGTAGAGGGCGAGCCTGGTTACGATTAGCACTGATGCAGAAGAAGCTCTCAGAATACATGAAAGCCCTTATTAACAGGAAAGATCTGCTAAGGTAATTCATTTTGGGATTAAGCAAAAAACTAAATGTATTTGTAATGGGAAAAAACAGCTGTAAATTGTACAATTTATCAATAAACATGAACGTCTGGGCAATGCAGTGATGATTGTTGACAAACGCACCCTTCTAAGTGATTTGTTTAGAGGCACTATCGGGAATTAGATGGAAGAACTTTATCTTACCAGACATTTAAAATGATTTAAAATGCTGGCCATATCTTGGAGGAATAATCGTTTTTATTTTTTTACCTACAGAAAACCTGTGCTTTACCTATTTAGGCCTGGTTCACACTACTGCAACTTCTGATGTGACTTGAGCCACACAGAATTGCATGACCATGGAAATCACATTGTTTTCAATGGTGCCTGTTCTAATCAATGCCACTCAGATCCCTGCAATTTAGTACTTGGTGCTATTGTGCAACTTGGCCCCATAGAAAATGCAAATCGCATCTGTAATATATGCATAATCTCTCTGTAAATTGCAAGAAAGTCGCATCTCAGTAGTGTGAATGGAGCCTTGCTCCAAATGTAGACAAGACTTAAAATCCCCCTCCAAAATGTACTAAAACAATAATAACTGAGATGCTCATTGTCTTTTATGCTCTTTAATTGAGAACTCAGATTTGTGTGGAGTGGGTGAATTTAAGATGATGTATTTTTAAAGCAGTATTAGTGATTACATTTCAAGTGGCTTGCTGTAAAGCATATATAGCACTGGAAGGTTAAATGTTCCAACAGGTCATAGATTTGATGTTTTGATTGTGCTCTGTACACCAGAGGTGTCCCTAGGGTTGGTGTCACTTGGTGTGGTAACACGTGGTGTCACCCCTCCAGAGAGGAAGGCGCAGCGCCGGTGTAGCGGAAAAATGAGTATCCCGACCCGTGAAGATATGTATCCCCTGAAAAAACTGCGCATGTGTCGGTTTCAGGCTGAAGAAGTCGATTTCTGACGTTAGCACAGAGCTGTCACAGTTAACCCCACAGGCTGAAAACTGCTGAAGCTGATCCCGCGTATCACTATGGGTTGCAAGATTAGTTAACCCCGTATAGGTTGAACCTATACGGGGTTAACTAATCTTGCAACCCATAGTGATACGCGGGATCAGCTTCAGCGGTTTGCAGCCTATAAGGGTTTAATTGTGGCAGCTCTGTTAAAGTTGGAGATCGGCTTCTTCAGCCTGAAACCGGCACATGCGCAGTTGCTTCAGGGGATACATATCTTCACAGATCCGGGATACTCATTTTACAGCTACACCGGGGGGCAGCTGTCACTGTGCCGGAAATCCGGGATCACCCCAATAACTGGCCAGGACCTTCACAGAGCCCAGAAGCTCTGCTGGCATCCTGCACCCCCTGTGATGGTGTCACCCAGTGCGGCTTGCACCCCCCTAGGGACACCACTGCTGTACACTATTGATTCTAGTCTTCATTCAGTTTCCCTGACTTTGTATTGGAGGTTCACCATGTATCCCCTTGGTCTGCAACTGGAGGAGAGCTAGGGCCTGACCTGCGCAGTGGGATACTTTAGACTGGCCGAATGAGAGCTCAAGTGTTGTGTGACTGCAGTAATACTAAAACTAGTGTTCACTGACAAAGCATTTCCATGCCATAGCCTGTTAACCTTTTATTTCAGCCTTATCCTGTTTGATCATAAGTTTGCATGAAATAAGAGAGAGACGTGCTGTAAATCTTGGGCAGGGTGAAGATGCCTTAATTATGCCAGCGTGGATTAAAACATAATTTCTTCACTACTAGTTGAATGTTGTTCAGCCAGTACTACATGGACTCACTGAGCCCTATGGGATGTATCAATGTACATACTAGGGGTTTTCTCAAGGAGCAATTATAAGCAGCTTGCAACACTGGGGGAGATTGATCAGTTTTTTTTTTTTCCATAACACAGTAGTAGATAACAGGAGCATTGAGACAACCTACTCAGAGATAGCAGCTGGATTTATAAATGTTTACAAAACCATCACAATCATCTGTTGTGGATTGCAGGGGTTGGAAATGCACACAAAACCTTCCAGAAAATACTTTGCTAAATGTCAACCTAATTGCACTAGAGCAACGTTTCTCAACCTTTTTATCCTAGAGCAGGGGTGTCCAACTGGCGGCCCTCCAGCTGTTGTGAAACTACAAGTCCCATCATGCCTCTGCCTTTGGGAGTTATGCTTGTAACTTTCAGCCTTGCAATGCCTCATGGGACTTTTAGTTTGGCAACAGCTGGAGGGCTGCCAGTTTGAAACCCCTACCCTGGAGGAACCCTTGAAACATTTTTTTAGGTCTCAGGGAACCCCTGCTAAAATCATTTAATCAGGGCCAGTGAAAAAAATGCCCCTTACCATGGTGGTCAGAAGAAAGCCCTATAGTGGAGGTCGGAAGAAAGCCCTATAGTGGAGGTCGGAAGAAAGCCCTACAGTGGAGGTCGGAAGAAAGCCCTACAGTGGAGGTCGGAAGAAAGCCCTACAGTGGAGGTCGGAAGAAAGCCCTACAGTGGAGGTCGGAAGAAAGCCCTACAGTGGAGGTCGGAAGAAAGCCCTACAGTGGAGGTCGGAAGAAAGCCCTACAGTGGAGGTCGGAAGAAAGCCCTACAGTCGGAAGAAAGCCCTACAGTGGAGGTCGGAAGAAAGCCCTACAGTGGAGGTCGGAAGAAAGCCCTACAGTGGAGGTCGGAAGAAAGCCCTACAGTGGAGGTCGGAAGAAAGCCCTACAGTGGAGGTCGGAAGAAAGCCCTACAGTGGAGGTCGGAAGAAAGCCCTACAGTGGAGGTCGGAAGAAAGCCCTACAGTGGAGGTCGGAAGAAAGCCCTACAGTGGTGGGTCGGAAGAAAGCCCTACAGTGGTGGGTCGGAAGAAAGCCCTACAGCCCTACAGTGGTGGGTCGGAAGGTACGGAAGAAAGCCCTACAGTGGTGGGTCGGAAGAAAGCCCTACAGTGGTGGGTCGGAAGAAAGCCCTACAGTGGTGGGTCGGAAGAAAGCCCTACAGTGGTGGGTCGGAAGAAAGCCCTACAGTGGTGGGTCGGAAGAAAGCCCTACAGTGGTGGGTCGGAAGAAAGCCCTACAGTGGTGGGTCGGAAGAAAGCCCTACAGTGGTGGGTCGGAAGAAAGCCCTACAGTGGTGGGTCGGAAGAAAGCCCTACAGTGGTGGGTCGGAAGAAAGCCCTGCAGTGGTGGGTCGGAAGAAAGCCCTGCAGTGGTGGGTCGGAAGAAAGCCCTGCAGTGGTGGGTCGGAAGAAAGCCCTGCAGTGGTGGGTCGGAAGAAAGCCCTGCAGTGGTGGGTCGGAAGAAAGCCCTGCAGTGGTGGGTCGGAAGAAAGCCCTGCAGTGGTGGGTCGGAAGAAAGCCCTGCAGTGGTGGGTCGGAAGAAAGCCCTGCAGTGGAGGTCGGAAGAAAGCCCTGCAGTGGAGGTCGGAAGAAAGCCCTGCAGTGGAGGTCAGAATGCTACTAAAGATCGTTGAGGTCATGCCTGTGACTGGGACAAGTAGTGTTGGCCCTGGAACTTTGATTGACTTTCCTTTTGAGGATGCCAGCAAACATAGTTCAAGGAACCCCTAGCAACCACTGGAGGAACCCTAGTTTAGAATGGCTGCACTAGAGAGACACCAACTTCTGTTTGTAACAACTTTGATAAATCCCCATCACTGACTATAGACCTTCTGTTCATTTCTCATTCCTGGAGCCTGTATCCATTGCTCTGATGCTTGCCCACACAGTTAAATGCACCCTTAGTGCAGAGTTTGCCCAGGTCCATTCGAAATGCAATAAACAAATTTAGCTCAAACATTCCACAGGCATAAAGGAAGAGTTTATTTACGTGAGACCTAATATATACCCAAAAATCAGCAAATGCCTTACCAAACATTACGTGTATATTGTTAACTAAGCCAACCCCTCCTTAATTTGAGTGTCACATGCTCTCCTTCTCAGAAACTGATGCTCACAGTTGGATGGATTCAGGTAGAGAGGCAGCGTCCTCAATCCAGAAAGCAGTGTGCAGGACTAGGTATGGTCAGATGTAAACTAACTAGATACAGGTTTATGAATCAGCAGTGACAATGTTGATAGCTATGCCATCTACAAATTCTTCTCATACCACCATAGTGAAACAGGCACAGCCTATGTAAGTGGGACAATATTTCTCTGATTTCAGGAATAGTGCCGCATTCACTCTATCACAGGAAGCTGCATTAGGTGGACTTTACTGGCAGGGTCAACAAGTATTTGTGGGACATTGCAGGGGTACTAAAGCTGGTCATGGATTTTTTTTTTTACCAATGGGGGAGATAGCCTGTAGCGCTGATCAAGTGGAAATGTTTCAACAGGGTGGTTGAACAGAAGTTGATTGGTAGATCAACGTCTAATGAACCCCAGTGGTCATACATGGATTAAAATTTGGCCGGTTGCTGAATTGACTGAATGGCAATCCATGTATGGCCTGCTTAAAGTAGACCTATAGGCAAAACTTTTTTTTTTTTCATTTTGAATAGCGCAAGGAAGGGTTATAACCCCTGTCAAAGGAAATGAAAGGAAATCCCTGCAAATTAATTGAATTCTTCGGGGACCCCAAGGTCACCAGATCTGTGAATATTTCCCCTCTATTCCTTTTCTGGGAACAAAACAAAGTTTGGCATTTTTTTACTTTTACTTTCAATGATCATGGTAAACAGGATAAATAGAGCAGGAAATCTCCTTAACGGGGGCTCAGACAGCAATAAAAACTTGACAGGTGTTCTAATTCCTCTACACTGTATCCAATACTAAAAAAAATGTTTTGCCTTTAGTTATACTTAGGAATTAAACCAAAAACCAGCAGCGCTACAGTGACATGATAAACCATGCAAGAATGTCACAAACATACTGTATAAAAATCAATATATATATCCAGTCTACATAAATAAATGAGTGGCTGAGTAATAAACAATTATAAACCAAAATAGTGAATAAAAGTCCAACTAAAAAGTGTCCTTGTGCATATTTAAATGTATTATGC